GCCGAACGGCGAGTGTGGGAGCAGAGCCCCAGCCGGGCCAGCGCTGGCACGAAGCCGCTTCGGCGCTCCGACGGCGCTCGCCGGGCGCTCCCCCCGCTCGGCCGAAATACACCCGAACGCCCGAACCACTGCTCGGGACTGTCTGGGCGGCGGTCGGCCGCTCCCGAGCCGAGCCGAGCCGAGCCGAGCCGAGCTGGGCTTCGGCAGCTCGGCGGGTGCTGGGCGGGCGCTCGGCGGTCGCGTTCGCTCCGCCGCCCTGTTCTTTCCATACCCGAACGCGCCCAGGATAGTGGTCTGCCACGCCACGTCACGTAGTGACGCCGTCGCCATATTAGAATGTGGTGTAATGCATTGAAAAGATGTGCCTCAGTGTATCCTGATATTATCAATTTTGACAACGCGGTAATTATTGCAAGATGTTTAGTGGGTGAGACGAGTACATGCATCTTTCAACGTGGCACACAAAGAAAAGGTTTGTGTAAGAAACTTACTCCCTCTACAAATTAAGAGAGTTATAACCTTCAATATTTCTGTTGAGAGTTCTCAACACATACAGCATACTTGTCTTAAGATCGTTGAGGTGAAATAAGAAATGCGCAGAGATTAGTTATCACTCGGGGATTTACGTAAAAATTTGTGTCACGGAGCGCACGGAAAAAAATAAAAATCGGTTCCGTGCTAATCGATTTAGCAGGCAAATTTGGCACCCTTGCCAAAAAAGTAGCTACGGGATAAAATATTTAGCTGTACTGCTAAATAGTATTGGTGATACAGCTAGACCATTGCTTCAGTTAGCTGTACAACTAAAAGTTTAGCACTGGAGCTAAAAAAAATTAGCTGGGCCTATGCTGACGAATTTTTAGCACCAGTGCTAAAAAAATAGCTAGGGTGCTATATTTTTTTTTCGTGCGGCGTATAGGGGGCTATTCTAGCTTCGCGGGCCTGGGGCCGCGCACCAAGCCGGCAGTAGTGTATGTTTTGATAGTGACTGTTATACCGGGGCTGAATCGCGCTCTACGAGTGTGGTTTGATAGCGCAGGCAGTTGCGTGCCGGATCGCAGCTCGTTCCGGCTGCGTGTCGCGGGTTCGACCCTTGACTTTTAGAGGGATTTTTTTATTTGTTTATTTTTTACCCCAGTGGATGGAGACTAGCCAGGAATGTTCGGCTCATGAATATAAACTGCCCTGCAAAGCCTTGTCGCTGTAAGATGAATAGTTTTTGAGAAATCGGTGTTCTACGAATTTGCCCTTAGGACCCTACTTTGAATCGATATAAAACTCGTTTTCCGTGCGTGAGGCGATCGCCCACTTTAGGATCTATTCAGTTTTACTTGAGTAATCTACAGCCGAAATCTGGACGCTGTAGCTCCAATAGGTCCAGAGCTAGAGCCGATGCCGGTAAATTTACATTTTCTTTTTGTAATTTTACAACTCATGTGGAAAATTTTCCTGTAGAATGTACAAAAATTTCTCACAGTGTTAATACCCGCTGGGAACAAAAGACTCATGGGTTTCCGACGGCTAGGGCCACATATATTCCAATTGTTTTCTCCGCAGTGTCACGGGGCACATTCACGCCCCTTCCTGTGTGTTCCATAACACACAGCAGCGCGGGCGGACCGACGGTCGGCCTAGTCCGGTCGTTAAGCACTCGAACCCTGCACTTTTGGTTAGAAGCATGAAACTTTGTACACATGTTCCCATGGTAGTCCTAAGCTGATTTTGCCTGGTAGCCACTTCCGCGGTCCGTGCGGACAGCCTGGATAGCGGGTTGCCTATCTGCCAGGCGGGCGCACTACACCGGGCCCTTTAAACCCCTATAGCAATTGTGCGAATTGCGCTGGAACAAAATTTCTTTTTGCGTTGTGATCGCTAACGATGTAGCTTATGGATGGTGTTATCTCGAGACCGGCTGGTTGAACGCTACGGCTGTTATCGAACCACAAAACTTGCTACTAGAAAATTTCAGAGTGGAAATTTGGTTAATTTCTCAATTTTCTCAATTTTTGCCAACAAGGCTGAAATTTTACCGAAGTAAAAGTTGCGTGGGCTATTATTGCGCGTCGAATGAGCGGTCTCTGACTGTTGTCCGGCGATTTTGAGCCGATAGATATCGCCCGAGGATGGAAGACGTGTTGCGATAACATAAGCGTGCCGCGCACGCTGGGGGACATTCTAGAATGTCGGGATTGGCACAAAATTTCATATACAGGGGTTTTTGAGTGTGGCGAGTCCATTTCCGGTGTCTGTTTGCACCTCCAGGGTCATACTGGGGTCGTCATCGGCGACCACTCGAGGTCCCCGATGACGACCCCAGTATGACCCTGGAGGTGCAAACAGACACCGGAAATGGACTCGCCCCGCCCGCGCGCCCCGCCCGCGCCCCAACCACGCCGAGGGAGTGTGTTATGATTCACCGCCCAACTACATACGTGATGGGCTCGGAACGGAACGGACCCCAGCCTCTCGTGAATCTGCCGAGCTCGTCCCTTTTGAATGGACTAGTGGAATCGTCTGCTAAGGCAGCATGCATAGTTCACTCTGGCTACATTATTAAGGTGTAATCTCAAAGCGACAGACTGGTTGCTTTTGCATCGTGAAGTCATTGCTATGAGAGGAAGATAGCACTGTTTGTTAGACCTTCTTGTCTCGAAATTCCCCAAATCCTGTGAATATTCCTCTGACTATAAACGTTTTGATGTTAGAGTCCATTACACTTGTTGAAAGAATTCTCCTTTTGCGCAATTCTGGGATATACCTTTGCTCTTTTGATTTGATCGACGCTCTGAGATTGCAACTGATCACCCCCTTTTCCCTCCCCCTCCCTTCCTCCTCTTTTTATGTCTCCTCGGATGTGAGGAGGGCCGGAGGGCCCGCCTTCCTGTCCATGACGCCCACTCAGCCCTCTTCAGGGCTCAAAAAGTCCTCTTTAGGACTAGTCCTCTTTACAGGACTTAAATAGTCCTCTTCAGGACTTCAATAGCCTTCTTCAACAATGCTCTGAGGACTCATATAACAAGTACTCTTATGGGCACCATAAAGCTCTTCTTAATAGTACTTGACAAGTAATTGGTAAGTCAGCATGACTTAAGACATTTGTACAGTGTGATTGCTGCTGAAGGTGGATTTTTTAAAATGGTGGCTGTATATTGGCTATGGTAACTGTTTCTTTGCACATTCCCTTCTATTTGTGCTCACTTCTTGACGTTAGATCAACATACCATTCTTCGCTCTATCTCTGTTCATCTGTTTAAAAACTCCGACAGATTTGTATGTCACCCATCTAGTGTTTCTCCTGATGGTCATATACTACAAAAAGCAATTGCTACTTTTTGTGCCTTTTCTATTTTCAATTCATGTTGTCCCTATCTTTTACTTTTATCACTTTGTTTCCTTTTTTTCCCAGAAAATATGGTGGAGGTTGAAATTGAGGAGTGGCGGATGACCTGTGAGATTTGTATGAAAACTCCTGGAGTTTTCAACTATCTTGATTTCTGTGACGTATGTGGTGTGCCTGTGCACACAGAAGAAAATTCTTGCGCTGTACCTGTGACACCTGATGACAGCGACATATGGCTTTGCCTGAAGTGCAAAAGAGCAGGTTAGAATAATTTGTTTGTTTTCTATGTGAACCATATGAAGAAGAGTATTTAGTTGGGTCCCGGCAAATGTGTTAGAAAAATTGGGATTTTGTTTCTTATATGTCCAATCTACCAAGGTGTGATGTATTTTAAATTTTCATATCTCTAATTTTTCTGACTATAAACAACAGTTATTTTCCTTATTTATAGGTGAAGTCTTTGTGGTACCCACGGTTGATGAAAGGGCCAACATTACAGTTCGCAGTAGTAAAAGAGGTACATCAATCATCTTTGCATTAATATCTCTCTGTCATGAAGTTTTTGTCTTCTCTTGTTGTATGCCCCTGAAATTTTATATTTTTCCTGCAGGTTCAGATCACAGCAATGATGTTGCTCTAGAAGGTAATTTTATCTCATTATTACAATTATTTAGTACACAGACTGATATTAACATTGAATTTCCTATTCATATACTTTCTTCCTCTCTTGCAGAAGTTTTAAAAGAGCTTCATCAAAATACTGGAAGACCTGTCAGGCAAATCAATATGCCAAAGCGTCTCCGTACATCCTATGAGTTCAATTGAATTTTTTATGCTATATTTGTCAGACAGATTTGTTTTCTTTTATTGCATTTTTTGCTGTTATGCAGTACAAACATAGTCTCTCACAGATGCACTCTATCCCATAAACATTGCATGTTCAATATGACTTTTTTGAATAAATTTTTACTTTAAAAGACTACATAGACCTTTTTAAGAAATTCATTTATAAAACATTATTTATCTCCTTTTCAACATCCTGAATGAGCATTGATTGTTTCCTCATTACAACACACTATTGAAATAAGTCAGAGCAATATTAAAACAATAAAGTATTAATTTTAAACATTAATTAAAACATTCTCTACACTTTCCTTTCTTGTTTTGGGCTCTAAGGCCAAACTAAAACAGCATATGATTTAACAAAATAAAAAGCAATATTCTTCTTTCTTCAATTTTAGTTCTTGCTCGCAGAAGCCTTGGTTGGCCGTAATTTTAAAAATTGGATTTTATTTGCCGGCTAGTGCTTAAAGTATTTGTTCAGCTTATAATGCCTCGGTTGGTCCTAATTTAAAAAATTAATCTGCCGGCTGGTGCTTATATCTTTTTTTAGACTGTCCTACTTTAAAAAATTGGATTTTATTTGGCAGGTGGTGCTTAAAACATGTTTTAGACTAATGTGCACCGGCCGGGGTACATAAAGGGATAAAAAGTAATACGCCCCGCTGATCCCTCCCGGGATCTTCTCCGGTGCGTATAACATTTTATGGGCTTATGTACACCGGCTGGGGTGCATAACGGCAGGAAAAGTAATACACCCCAGATGATCCCTTTTGGATCCCCCTGGGGTGCATAACTCATGAGGCCCTTATTGACAAGATTTGTTCTGGTGTATATAACTGTGTGATGCTTTATTCGCCCCATTTCTGGTGTATATAACTAGTTCCTCAAATAAACCAGTCTAACGCCAGTGAACGTATTGAGCAGTCGTTTACCCCTGTGCCCTCTTATGGAAGTTTAAGTCAAGTCACTTTAATAATAGACCCAAAGTTTAGAACGTGTTCCGGCATTGTTTCAATAATTTTCAGTACCAGTTTTGTTCAATTTCAAAACAATATGTGGCATATGCTGTTTAGGACCAAAGCAGTGCACATATTCGTTCCAAGTAACAGTTCAACCATCAGTTAGTGCTCCTGGCTGGACTCATTTTGTTTTCTTTAAACGCTTTTCGAGGTGCTTTTCTGGAAGCATCCAAAGATGTTGCCCTTGTTTACCCTGCTGGGGCCTGGAGCAGGGATGGGAAAAATTTAACTAAACTAGTTTCTGTAACTGTAACTAGTTACAATTTGTAGCAACTGAAACTGTAACTAGTTTCATTTTCAAACTAAATAACTGTAGCTGTAACGAGTTACATTTTTTTCTGTAACTGTAACTAATATCAGTTACAGTTATTTTTGCCCAGTAGAACTTTTAAAAACTATGAGATTACTTTCCCGTTTATCCACATTCTGTTGCAATGTGCTATCTGGAGTCTGCGGCTAGCGCGGCATTCAGAGGAATGAAGGAAAAGGAGCTGGAAAGACGGTATTGTTTCGGCTCATCTTGGGTCTGTGCAGGCCTGTGCAAGCAAGGCGGCGAGGTCGAGGAGGAAGACCCTTTTATTTACTGCATGTCAATTATACGTATATCCGTTTCAACAGAGCGGTCTTCGAGATGCTCTGCCGCATTTGTCACGGTTCACATTCGCCCGGCCTTGGCGACCTTGGGTTAGCACGACGAGGAAAGCAGAGTTTTGCGGACTTTAAATAATGCGTAATCGCCTACCTTGCAAACAATTTTTCCATTACAAAATAATTATTAGAAAACAACGACCAATTTAACTCAAAAACTACCGGGATAACTGTAACTGTAACTAGTTACAATTTTTGTCGAAAAAAATGTAACTGTAACTGTAACGGCAATCTTTAAGAAAAAGTAACTGTAACTGAAACTAGTTACATTTTTAGCAAAACTAACTGCAACTGTAACTAGTTACATTTTTAAAAGTAACTTTCCTATCCCTGGCCTGGAGCCATTTAAAAGGGCCCAAAATAAACTTTGATGCTTAGGAACCAAATCCGACCGGGAAAACTCTAGTTTTAATTAGGGAATGCCACCGGAAAAAAAACAAGGAAAAAAACCATGAAGAAAATGGGTATCCGTTTTTTTCCGAGGCCCCTGGAAAATAACGAAAAAACAGGAAAAAACGTTTTTTTAAGATTTTGAGGGCTCCCTTATAGAAAGTAGACGTGTCATAGATGTCGAAAAGACGTCTAAGAATAGATGCCTAGACGTCTAATGACCATCTACCATAGACGTCTAATCGATGTCGAATTTGGCCGCAAAAATGAGATCTTTTAGATGGTGAAGTGTAGACATGGAATAGAAGTATATTATGCAGTAAGAGGTCTTGTGGACGTGGACGTCAACGCTTCGATTCGTTAAAGACGTTGTGTAGACGTGAATTAGATGTTAGAGAATCTACATTGGTGATAGGGCAGTCCTGTCAAAAGTGCTTTTTATCATTAAGATAAAACAAGTATCAACTTTATGGCGTTAGGTGTGAAACGTAGGCCCTATTGGAACTTTCCACACAGTACAAAAATTAAATAGTTTTCTCAGCTGTTTGAGAGACCATACTATCAGACGGAAAGGCGCTGAGGGTCGATGTGCCCGTAATGTGAGTGGTCAGCGAGAATGGATTGCTACGTAGAACAAAATGGTGAATTTTATCTTTAACTGCAAATAAAACGTGCTGGCACACTGATAAAATGACGCTCTTCCCGAATGTCAACAAGTCGAAACGGAATATTTAGAAAATTAAGAAATATTTGGCATAAAGACGAAAAACAGCCCTTGTCCGAAAGATGCGCCATCTGGCGGAAATTCGAGAAAGCATGCTTATCTAAAAGCATAGATGGCATAGACGAGAAGTAGAGTATACCTTGACGTTTACACGTCATGTAACGTTAAGACGTCTCAGTTCATAGATGTTTTCCCTTAAGTAGAACGGCTATCGGAGTTGACGCCTCATGTACCACAAGCCATCTTAGCGTTTAGATGGCTTAGACAATGACGTAGAGTGCCTTGTGACGTCCACCCCTCCCCTCATCTTCGGCAACACATGTAAATGTATAGATTGCTTGGATAGTAAGTAGAGCGTCTTTCGGCGTCTATACCATATCTACAGAAAGACATCTAAACGCAGAGATGGGTTAGATAGGATGTAGAGCGTCTCCCGGCGTCTACACCCCATCTACAGTTAGACAAGATGGCAGAAGACGTATAATCAACATCTTTTAAACATCTATGTGTAGACGTCTACACAGTTAGACCTGCTAGATGGGCATTAGACCATCTATCGCCATCTAAAGATGTCTATTTTCTATATTATAATATCACGGAAAAGCATGTTTTACGTGATTTTACACTACTGCCCACCAATATCTTCCGGCCCTTCACCCGCTACCATGACTGACGGTGCCTCTGAGGGGTAGGGTATTTTTGGAAAATTTCGAAACGACAGGTAGGCAGCGCTATTCGATCCGAATCGAAAGCGAAAGTTTTCTACTCGTATGTCCTGCCCTCAAGGAATATACTAAAATGCAGTTTGATGTCCCAATTCCACTATTAGTGGGTAATCATAAAATATAGGGAGAAGGGGGGTGGGGGTAATTTTTTTTCCGTAGGAGTCCTTATTTATCTTTGTTATTATGCAGAATAGTATCCCTAACTTATATGGGCAATCCCTCAGGAGCTAAGTTAGGTTATTGGACAATCTGAGCAAATCGGGTGTTAACCACTGATTGTGTTATGAAATCCATTTCTCACTCTAGGAATACTAAGTGCTTTTTGATCTCTTTTTTTTTGGAAAACATGAAAGAACTTTTAAAGATGATGCCCTTATTTCATGCAGACCGTTTAGGCAGCAGGCAGCACACACCTCATGCAGGCAAACAAGCTTATCGAGGCTGCGCAAACGGATGAGTTGGCATTAAAACACCGACGTTTTAGATAAAAATGCCCTTATTACTATCCATATGCTTTATTTAGGTGTATTATACCCGATTATACCAAAAATCATTTTTTCCCAAATTTTTGGTTTTTCCCCATTTTTTTCCTGGTAAAAAACGCTTTTTTCCTTCGAATAAAAAAAAAGGTTTTTTTTTCTTCCCTAGTTTAATTATGACCCAAAGCTTTCTGAACATAGTTATTTGTTTACTGCTTCATTTAATTGCATGGTCATTGTTAAAGGAAACGTACAGCTGGCCTAGCTCACTCTCGGGCATCGGCCAGATAGGGCTGTAGGCGCGGCCGGTCAGGCACACCTGAAGCCAGACGGAGCCCACCATTGCAGATCCAAAACAGACTTGGAGTCTCGTCATCCTGCGGTTCATTTGGCTGGCTCGGATCAGTTCAGACTTCTGTCACGACGACAAAACATAAAGATGTGTGAACATCATCTGCTAAAGTAAATTCAAGGATTAACGGTGATACTATAAATGAACAAGGCTTGTTTCTGATACTGTTAGTCATGTTTCACTGGTAAAACAAAGGTGCGAAGTGGTGCCTTTCCTAGGGCACTAAACACATTTTTAGTTTAGTGCCTTTCAAAGGCACTGAACAAGGCACGACGCACCCCAAAAAGTGCTCAAAATTAGTGCCTTTGCCAGTTTTAGTGTCTTTGTAAAGGCTCTAACCCTTATTGCCTTTTAAAGGAAGGAGTTAACACTTTTGTTTTACCAGTGTTCCGGTTGGCTGGCAGGCTGTTCAAACAACAATCGAAGTGGTGCGTGGTGCTCTCCAGGTCCATCAAAGAATAATCGCGTAGAGAATGTCAAACTGTATTTTCTTTAAATGTTTTTTTCTATTTTCAAAATATTAGGTCACCTGCTTTGGTAACCATAAAAGCCACTTTATGGGCTGTTTTTATCAACGAGAGGATGACGGTTATAAACATGAGTAGCCCTCCGGTCGCTGAGTGTGATGAGTTCGCCTTTCCATCATTGTTGCTTTACTCGCTACCGGAAACACAAAGTGTTTTTTTTTCTAACTCTGGCAACCAACTCTCTTTGCATTACTCCTTCAATCGGCGACCAGAATAGGTTCGGTTGGGCAGCCTGTGCCACTATTATAACGGTAAGAATCCTACCCCAATGTATATCTAGATTTCAGCATATACGCACAATACACTGGTAATCGTGTCAATAAACGTATGTCCAAAATAACTTTTTTTTTCGGGAGGAGGTTTTTACTCGTTCTTTGCCTCCCGACAAGCCTTATCGTAGGTAGAGAACGAGTATTGTGCTCGGGCTCGGTGTAATTTAGACCCCCGCACTTTCAGCGAAGAAATGGTAACACATACAGCTATACAGGTATAACCAAATGTTGCATTTTGCGACTTAATGAACCCATAATAGAGATTTTTTTTGAGTTTCTAAGCATAATTTTCAGAAATGACGAATCAAAAATACGAAGAGAGACGTTCGGCCGTTCGCCACGGAGGCACTTTTCAGCCCCTTTCGGCCGGTCGAGAATCGACATAATACCTATAAAATACCATCAAGTCACGCAATACTTTGCAAGTGGCTATTTCGACATGTGATAAACAGTTTCTGAGTATTTTCTATGAATAATTATACAGTGAAAATTAGACTAATGCTTTATTTACAAACATTCAAAACGCGAACACAAGTCCATAAAATTGGTTGTGCGCATGCGCGAGCAGCGCCATCTATTGACTTAACTGTGAACACCTTGACCCGCGGTAGTATGATTCGTTACCATTTGATATTTTTCAATCGGTGGGTATGCAAAGCTCTAAATTACACCATGCATGAGAGGACGAGTATCCTCCTTTGGCATCAAATTAATTGGATGGTTTTTCATTCTACTTGTTTCTTTCTAGAGTGAGAACTAATAAAGCTTTTGACAGTGACTTCTGCACACAATGAATCACAAAATATAAAGCATTTGTAATATCAGTAACTTGAGTTGCTAAAATCAGTAGGTCATATGGATACTTATGGATACCTGGACATACGTTCCTTAGAACAGTATCAGTAATCTGAGCAATAAACGTATGCCCAGTGTGATCTGGTCAACAAACGTATGTCCATTGCTCCAGACTTGGACATACGTTTGTTGGTCAGATCACAGTGGACATACATTTGTTGATCAGATCACCCTAGATGAAATCCTAGCTGCAGTTTACTGATAAATTTGAAGGTCCGACTGAAGGAACTGACATTACCCGCTTTTAACTGACCGACCTGATATTACCTGATTTTACCCGCTCTTACATGAGGTTACAAATTTAAAGTCATCATCTACTGGAGCGGAGGAGCGACTACTTTTCAGCCACCTTGAATTAAAATTAAGTAAGTATCAGCTAGAGTCGAGGACTGACTTTTTGCCGCCATTTCATCAGATCGAGCTGAGCAGTGACTTTTGTGCACCTTGGTTTAGGGTGTGATCAGGTGAAGGTCACTTTAGGTAAGATCAGCTACAGAGGATCAATTAACAGTCAAAATCTAGGACTGAATCATGTTGACAATCAACTTAATTTTGCTGTAAGACATGCGGACCGGGTATCAGCTAGACTTCAGCTTTCTTCAGTCCTTATTTTCGCCTAATTTTACGTAGTGGTTTTACTGATGTTTGTAAAGACCGCGAACCAGGAAGATCAGCCCTTCGGCATTTTATTTCAGATGTGAGCGGCAGACTGGAAACAACAGCTTTAGTACTGAACTTAGTATTGTATTCACCGGCCAGTCGGACACTGACAACCTTCCGTCTAATTCAGTCGGGACAGGGCAGGATTAAAGCTAACTGAAACGAACTGGCGGCAAAATATCTGACGCTACGCTAGATTCAGTTGGGTTTCAGCCCGATTCAGTTGGTCTAGCTAAAAGACACAAGCGCAGCTAAGCTCAGTCGATGTCATCAGACAGATTTAGTTCGCTTTAAGGTAGAAGCGATTAATTAGCTGAAAACAGATCAGGAAAGTTTGAAATAAAATCGGATAAGGTTTGTAAAAACACGAAAAATAAAAGCTATCCTCAGTTAAATGCGGATATTAGCAGTTCACTTCAGTTAGCCTTTCTGTTAAGTTCAGTTGAGGTTTGACTAAAGTCAGCCAGGATTTCATCTAGGGCCCACTGGACATACGTTCATTGATCGGATGACTGATGGACATATGTTTAGTGAACCAGTAACACAACATAAAATTAGCTTCTTTTAGGCATACATTTTGCAAGAAAAATGTCAGAACACATATTAACTAATTCATGATATGTTATTGATCTACTTAATGTATGTCCATCAGATCTTACCAATGAACGTATGTCCAGAGTGATCTGATCAACAAACGTATGTCCAGTGTCTTTTTCATCTGTCCAAGTGGCTGGAGCAATGGACACACGTTGGTTGACCAGATCACGCAGGACATACGTTTATTGATCAGATGACTGATGGGCATATGTTGTTTGGCGCACCGCTACAACTCAAAAATTTACATAGATTGTTAAATTTTCTATTAACCATCCCAAGTACCAGAGATTAGTCAAGAATACATCAAACTGAGATAATATTGACCTAATTTTTATCAAACAGGTCACAGCAGCTACATTGTGACTTGGAATTGACAACTTCAACTTATTGACCCAGACTAAAACGTGACAAATTTTTGACTGTTTTGCACAATGATAGAAATTGTTATGTTTACGTCAACATGACATCAGCTGATGTAAACATGGGTTTAAACCACTGGGAGCACGTAAGCTAATGCCGTACAGATCCATACGTGGATCAGGGGTTAGCATGTCACACGTAGGATTGAAAGGTTGTGGGTTCGAATCCCACTTGTAGATAGCATTTCATGTCAAATTATGGCGGTGCGACGCTGAGGAAGTAGATGGAGACCATCAAGCAGAGTGCCGCAAGGGCAAGGGTCTGCAACGTGGCCAGAAATATTATTTGTTTAAAAACTCCGTATGATCAATATGATGTCATTTTGACATCAAAAAATAGTCATTTTCTTCAATGGAAAACACGTCATAGTGACTAAAACAAAATTGGCCAAAATTTGATGTCATAGTGACATATTGATGACAAATCTCTGTTACTTGGGATGTGAAACCTAGCTCCTCACTCATGTTAAAACGTTAATTACGTTAATTATTACGATTCGCACGATTACCAGGGTGTTGATGGGCCTTTGAGGGTGGTAACTTTGTGCATAATTTTCCAGGTTTTAAAAAGGTTCACACGTCTGTCAATTCTGCAAATAAAATGAGATGTGCCCGTTAAGCATGGTGCCATTTCTGTGTTTAGTGGTAGGACTTATCGCGAAGGTTGCGATGGCGAGAAGTTTCCTGGTAAGAACTTTTGTATATTCCGTATTGTTGCCATGTTTCCATTCGATTATGTTCGAAAGACCATGTGCATAGCTGAACATAATCGTCAGGGCTAAAAGCGAGGCCAAAAGTTAGTCCGTTCGTCTCCATCTTTCACCGTAGTGCAGTTAGTGCAGTTGTTAGTTTCACTTGGTTACCCCCCCCCCCCCCCAAAAAAAAAAAACCAACAAAAAAACAACATAATGCCACTTTTAGCCCGCCCTTCTGCTTTAGAAAAGCTATTTGGCGGGCTTATGCAAACGACCTCGTATCTGTCTGTGTGTCTGTCTGTTCCACTAGAAGGAGATGCGCTAGTGACTTAAAATTTCAGGGTATCTTAAGTAGGGTAAGTCGTATATCGCTTATTTTCGATTCTTGGGTTGTAATAGTGTTTTCCAGGCGCCATTTTGGATGAAAACTCCTGGAAACATTTTTTAAGTTTTTTCATTTAACGTTTTCATAACCCCTACCTTGCCTGTTATTCTGACCTGCCATAAGAGGTGGTTTTGAAAACTTCAATTTTGGGCGTATTTTTTTCTTGACTAAACACGCAATTTTACGGCCCTCTGGGCAAAAACTGGGCAAAAATTTTAAGGAGAAGGCTCTATCTCTGCCGGTTTGCATGATATGAATTGTTTTTATATTGCTGTAAATAAGCAACCTTTTCCCTTCCAATAATAATTTGTAGCTCGAAAACCGGCTGAGATAGAGCCTTCTCCTTAAAATTTTTGCCCAGTTTTTGCCCAGAGGGCCGTAAAATTGCGTGTTTAGTCAAGAAAAAAATACGCCCAAAATTGAGGTTTTCAAAACCACCTCTTATGGCAGGCCAGAATAACAGGCAATGTAGGGTTATGAAAACGTGAAAGGAAAAAACTTAAAAAATGTTTCCATGAGTTTTCATCCAAAATGGCGTCTGGAAAACACTATTACAACCCAAGAATCGAAAATAAGCGATGTACGACTTACCCTAATCTTAAGGTTCACTCCTAGAAAACGAAACGCCTACGGCACATCCTGGCAATCACCCCTAAGGGGCTGAAAGGGTGTATCAAAGAAAATGATGTAGGTCAAAAAAGTCAGAAAAAACATTATTTTATGATCTCGTAAGGGGTAAATCGTCAATGTGGAGCCCTGTGATCGAAAATTTCGTCCGTTTGGCTCTATCTCAAACCGTTCAGGCGCTGGGGGGTCTTTTTTTGACGAAAGTAAGCTTAAAATTGCTGTAGTGAACAATAAGTTGTGGAAGAAGGCCTAAAAAACCGCCAGATAGGAAAGAAACTCCCCCCCCCCCCCCCCCCCAGCCCAAACAAGCAGGCCCGCCCTTCCGCCAAACGAAGATGCCAGCTTTGCTCCGCCGGCAACTCCGTTCGGCAGGGGCCGGGCCTGCTCGGCCTGCCGGCGGCGATGGTCAGGCCTGCGGCCCGACCATTTCTGTCACGCGATTTGCTGAAGAACATGATCGAGTGATGTAGCGGGCCTTTGGCCCGCTTAAACCCGTCGTCTTTGAGTTTGCCCCAACGACTCGAGAAAGGGGATGTAACGGTGAAGCACCGCGACTACAACCCACCCTTCTGCTTAGAAAACGTGTTTTGGGGGTGGGGGGGGGGAGTTTCATTTCTATTTTGCGGTTTTTAGGCCTTCTTCTACAACTTATTGTTTACTACGGCAATTTTTAGCTTATTTTCGTCAAAAAAGACCATCTAGCGCCTAAACGGTTAGAGATAGAGCCAAACGGACGAAATTTTCGCCCGGGGGGGTTCTACTTTGACGAGTTACCCCTTAGGAGAACATTAAAAAAACTTTTGGGGATAATTTTTGAAACTTGGACACCCCCATTCACACCCTTACGGGTGGTTGCCAGGATTTGCCGTAGGCGTTTCGTTTTCTAGGAGTGGATCTTAAGATACCCTGAAAAGTTCAAGTCTCTAGCACATCTCCTTCTAGTGGAACAGACAGACACACACGAGGTCGTTTGCATAAGCCCGCTGGATAGCTTTTTCAAAGCAGAAGGGCGGGCTAAAAACGTTCTCTAAGCAGAAGGGTGGGTTGTAGTCGCGGTGCTTCACCGTTACACATCCCTTTCTCGTGTCTACGGGTCAAATTTTAAAGACGACGGGCTTTAGCGAGCCGAAGGCCCGTTTCATCATTTGATTATGTTCAGCAAATCGCGTGACAGAAATGTTCGGCATCGCCGCCGTCAGGCCAAGCAGGCCTGGCCCCTGCCGAACGGAGTTGCCGGCGGAGCGAAGAGGAGCTGGCACTGCCGTTTGGCTTAAAGGCGGGCCTGCTTGTTTCTTCTAACAACCCGAGGTTAAAGTTCAAATTATTGGCTGCTATTTTTTTCTAGGCGCCTATACCTCTCGTGGCAGAGATTTTGAACCTTAAAGAGTGCCAAGGAGTGCCCGACAACGCAATGACATTCTTCGGGCCAAACTCAAGCTCAATGAGAGGCCGCGGAAACTACACTTTCAATGCCAGTTTTAATATCACTCGGACTGTGAAGCGTATATCGGAGGTGACTTTTGTAGTTTTTGGTGAATTTATTTGGTTTAGTTTACAGCTAATCAATTTAATCATTGGAATTTACTCTTGTAGTCTAACTTAATCAGACGCGCGTACTTTCAGATACGAGTGGAGATGACTCGCTGTCGTGATGTCGTATCGAGCAACACGTGTGAGCATTTTGGAAATTGGAGATTTCAGTCCGATCCCTGCAAGGTGTGGATGGACCCCGTGGCGCCATGGGGAGGACTTGTCAAATCAATTGTTGAGGATTATACGTGCCCTACTCGAGTGGTAGGTGGTAGAATTATTCAAAAAAGAGACTAAACAGCAATAACAAAAGTAGTCATCTTATGCAATAAAAAAGATTTAAGATTGAAAAGCCAACAATCGACTAAAACTAGGAAAACGTGTGCCAAACGTGCCGCGTAACAGGCATTGCGATACCTCATGTGGCACTTTTACTCTGTATCGGTGTTGTACCAGACTTGATCGGGCGTGCATCAAATTAATAGGGTATTTCGGGTAAGCGAAGCAGCGGAAACGGAACGGGCGAGCGGCTGCTGGATCCGTCTCAGCCTGCGAACTGCACATGCGCAGTAGACTCTGCGCCGCCCCGCCGCCTCTCCCTCTCCCCCGCGCATCAGCAGCAGAGATGCAACCAGCGGTGAACTAGCCGGTTCCGTTTCCGCCGCTCCGCTTACCCGAAATACCCTATTTAAAGGTGCAATTTGTTTCCTTTGTTCGACCAGTAACTGCTCCTTGTGCCCTTTAAGCTCAACCTCATGTGCTTTCTTTCTGTGAAGTGGCATTTTCTACCTCGTTTCAGGGAACGTATCATATGCGTGACGCCGTACTTGATATGAAAGTACTTCAGGCCCTTCACCTTCCGCTAGAGGGAGCTGTATGGCAAAACAAGGCGTTTTTTCTAGAATCTTCCGGCAGTACGCATTATTGTTTCAAGGGCACTACCGTCTTCCGAAGAGTACGTGCATAACAGAGAGGACGGCGGCCTGCGCACTGCATTACAAGTTGCGAGCAGATTAGAAATGGAACTATACATGTGAGTTGCACAGACCTTTCCATCGAATGTGGAAGAAGAAAGGAAAGACTCAAAAAGCACTGGAAACAGTAGAGCTAAACAGATCAAATCGTTTACATTCTCTAGTTCACTTGAAAAAAATAATTATTCTGGACTTGGTTTGCCGCAGAAGGTGCACAAAATTTGTGTGCATCCTGCTCTGGAAACCCAAGAGTGTACTTGAACGCAGGAAATACTGCGTACTTGTTGGTATTCAGTATTCCCTGCGTACTTGACCATGTATTCAGTATTTCCTGCGTACTTGTCCATGTATTCAGTATTTACTGCGTACTTGTCAAGTACGCAGGAAATACTGAATACATGAGTAGGTACACAGATCACAAGGGATACTTGGTTCGACACCACAGTATTGGAGCGGGAAGTAATAATTTTTTATGAAATGTTGTTGGTATTACTAAATAATATTCAAAGTAAAATAATTGTTGGCTGAGCGATTAGCAAAGCCTATTACTCCGTCTGGTCGGAAAAAACTTTTTCTGTCTGTCTGTCTGTCTGTGTGTCTGTGTGTCTGTGTGTCTGTGTGTCTGTGTGTGTGTCTGTCTGTCCGCACGATAACTCGAGAACGAATTGAGTGAGCGACCTGGGATTTTCAGGGTCGTTTTGTGTCATAAAAAGACAGATCGAGTTCGAAGATGAGCATTCTAGCTCAAAATTTGGATTTTAAAAAAATCAAAAACCACAGGTCCCAAAAATGACTGTTTTTAAAAATATTTTTTTTCTGGTTTCCTAGAGGGTAACTCATCAAAGTAGAGCCCTTTGGGCGAAAATTTTGTCCGTTTTGCTCTAGCTCCAACCATTTAGACGCTAGAGGGTATTTT